TATATATATATATATATATATATATATATATATATATATATAAAAATGAATACAAAAATCATATGACATCGCATTATTGACCCAAAAAACAACTCACTCAAATAATAAAAAAACACTTTTTAGTTTGCTTATTAATATTTGATCTCTCAAACAACATCGCATTATTGATGCTTTAAGCATCATGTTTGGATCCAACGTAATAATCTCTCAAACAACCTTTCATCAAAGATGTTCTGAGGTACTATCTTTGGCTCCAACGGAATAATATAAGCTATAATCACCAAAACTACAACTCCACTTTTGTATGTATAACAAAATGATCCAATTTTTTTGAAAAAAAAACAACATGATCGCCAAATTTGAAAGTTTTATTTTTTAACTCCTTTTAAGTTGTCTGCCATATATAAGGCCCTTTCCCCAAAACTGATTTTCGAACCTGCTCAAGGACGATAAATATTCTTGCTCGTTCTCCATATATTTAGCGGTTTAAAGCTTCCCGTTCGGGTTAATCTTGAAAAATAGGTTTTCGAACATGAAGAACATGTTTGAATCATGTTCTTCATGTTTGAAAATTTTACTTTAGCATTTATTTGATAGTTTCGTTGTATCATCCCTTGTAGTATTTAATTAGATATAAAACTCACTTAGATAAGTCATTTAATAATTCTAAAAGGCTTAACATGTTTGAAACTTAGGTGATCCTATTTATTTTTATTTATTTATTTATTTATTTGTAGATTTTATAGATTTATGTTTTAATGTGTTCAAAACTCAATAATATATATCTTTACTATCTTATAAAACAAATCTCACTATTTCTATAAATAGATGAAATATATTAATATTATTTTTTAAGACGTTTAAACCATCAAGCTAAAAGTACAAATAAATACGACTAAAATAATATTATATTTAAAATAGTCCAAATTTTATAACCGAATGTACTCATATTTGATGCATACAATAATTCATCCGTCCCTCCTTTGATGGAGTCTATGTTGGATACTGAGATTTCGGCCAATATCTCTGGATTATGGCTGCTTCCGCTGGAATCCTTCTTCTAACTTCTCCATCATCTCTCTCTCTCTCACATAAAAACCCTAAACGCGACCATCTACCACCATAATTTGAATTTCACCACCACCATCAAACGTAGTCACCACCATGTGGTAGCGATGCTATGCATCTTTAACGGTGTTGACGGGTCTTTTTGTTTCTTGACCAAATGTTGAGCAGATTTGGAAATCGCCATCATCTTCTCCGTTTTCTCATCCAGGTAATAGATTCCTCTAATCTATATTTGTCGATTTTTTGTTGGTTGACCAGATGTTTAGAGTAAATCCGGAATTTACCATCATCTTCTCCATTTAATTTCTAATTTAGGTGTGTGCATCTTCACTTTCTCCTTCCAGAGCGCCTGGTTCGACCTCCCACCTCAATGCCCCTAAATCGATGGTCTCTCCCTCTCTTTTTCTCTATAAATGCGTGTGTCAATTTCTTGGAATTTGATCTCGATTTGGAATTAGACCATCTGTTATACCCACCGCATACCACATATGTGGTGGGTGCCACATCAGCACCACATTCTCCTACCACTAGCATGGGATACCTACCACTAACACACCACTCCACCTCATTATTATTATTTAAATTTAATTCAAAAATACATTAAAATCATTTTTTTAATACTAGTTTTACATTAAATTAAAAGACAAAATTACATTAAATAAAAACTACATTAATTGAAATAAAAAAATAAAACTAACAATAAAAAAAAATAAAACTAACAATAAAAATAAAAATTACATTACTTAAAATTAAAAAAAAAAACTAAAAATTTCAACCATAAATAAAATAAACTACCCCATACGCCTACGTAAGGCTCGAACCAACTCTTTCATTGCTTGGAAAAGTTCCAAGTCTTCGCCCTCGAGGTCGTCCGCTTTCATTTTCAAGATTTCCATATCGGT